AATGAACAACTATAAACCTATGAGGGAAAATAATCCAAGAGACAATAAAAAGTTTGCGGATTTGTTAGATGTGGCAGTAACAAACTTAAAAGAAGCAAATAAAACAGAAAAACTTGGCGATGGGAAATTGTATCATCAACTATAAAAAAAAGTTACAGAGATAATTTTAATTAGATACAAACGAACGAATTCCAAAAAATAAACATTCCCAGATGTTTACAAACAACTTTGACAGTTCGATATAAGTCAATCCACGTTTTTGCGGATGCGTCTTATTTATTTATTTTAACCCTAACCTTGTATGTTTTAATTAACCCTAATCTTGTAAAGCTCATGGTGCTGTTGCTAATCAACAATGTTTATAGGACACAGGAGAGGTGACCTGTGTAATCATAATGTCAAAAGCCCAAGTAAGTCCATTGCAATCTTTAGTATACCAAAACTTGAGTAACTTGGAGCTATCCTCGGTTTACGACTTGCAGAGAAGATTTACAAAGACTTGAAGCAGGAAACTAAGGATGTAACCATATGGTGTAATAGTCTTAATGTTTTATGGTAGATAAAAAAATAAAGTTGAAAGGTGAAACTATTTGTTTCCAACCGCGTTGGATTCATTCAATCAAAGACTGAACAAAAACAATGGAGATAGATACCAACAAAAGCTGATAAAGCTGATTTACTAACAAAAAAAAAACAAAAGTTAATGAATTAAAAAGTAATAATGTATGTTTTTGCCGAGAGAACATACAATAACAAAATTGATTGTTGAACATTACCATGACGAAGCTAATCATGTGACGGGAACAAATAAATTATTAACAAAATTATCAGAACAATATTGGGTCATATAAGGACGAGAAAAAATGCAAGATTTCATTTTGTCCTCGTATGACCTAATCAAAATGCAACAAACGTAAATTAAGAAAATGCAATCTTAAACAACAGTTGATGACCCCTTTACCAGCAATGCGCTTTAAAGAACCACTACGTGCGTTTGGTAAAATCGGTATCGATTTCGCTACTCCATTTCTTACTATGCAAGGTAGAGTGAAGATGCGTCAAAAGAGATACTTATGCTTGTTTACCAGTTTACTATCACGAGCAGTATACCTTGAGATGATTTATATTATAAATACAAATTCATTCCTCAATGCTTTTTATCGAATAGTGAATAGAAGAGGATTACCATTGAAAGTTTAAACGGATAATCGAACAAATTTTGATGTTGAGAACTAAAAGAATAAAACTACAAACTCTACAGCTAATAAAGGAAATAAGTGGCACTTAAATGCTCCGCTAGGACTACATCTTGGCGGTGTAATTAAAATAATGCTCAAGGTTGCCGAACGTGCAGCAACAGGGATACTCGAAAAAGGCGATACTACAGGTGAAGAACTCTGTACAGCATTTACAGGTGCAGAAAGTTTATTGAACTCTCGCGCATAAACATATCAGAGTGCCAATATAAAAGCTGACATTTCATTAACTTCAAATCATTTTTTGATTAGGCAAGTTGAAGGACATTTTGCACCTGATTCAGTTCAATCAAAAGACTATCATCTTAAAAAACGCTGTCGTCGAGTGCAAGAACTACTACGTCAGTTTTGGAAACGATAAATGAGAGAATGCCTTCTATCTTTATCTAATAGATGTAAATGAAATCAAGAAAAACGCAAAAAAAACCTGATAACAATGTGTTAGTAATTTCTCCACATACACCTAGAGAGCATTTGCTGCTTGGTAGAGTTACGGAAGTCTTTGAAGTTAAAGATGGACGTGTAAGAGCTGTGAAAGTTAACAGTGGCAAAAATCAATTTATGCGGCTAATTACGAGATTGCGTATTATTGAGTTTGACAATTAAAAATGTTTGATAGACTGGAGTCTATCAAAGAGGGGGAGAATGATAGAAAAAAAGTCTAATTCGCATAAAAGAAAAACAACATTCTAATACCACGATAGCTATAACCAATCAATAGCGCCAATAAGGTTATAACGAACTAGATAACAATTATATGGCGACTATTTTAATAATAGTGCTTACTAAATTTTCTTCCTTATTGAATGAACTTTTTGTATAAATAGAGTTTTGTTTTTGTTGTTTTTCAGGTATAAAAATATAGAAAATTGAATTAATGTAGTTAATGTAAAAACGGTTAAGATCTTGAAAATATAGGTTATAAATAATATTCGGTATTATTTGTGATTGCCATCGGATCAAGGAATAGGAGATTTTGAGAATTAATTTGTTTTTTTATTAAAAAACTTAATTTTTTGTTATTATAAATATTCAGATGCAGTTTTTAGAATTAATGTAAAAAATAAATATCTCGAATAGATTTTAAGAATTTTGAATGTAAAAGTTTGTTTCAATACTGTTATTAAGATTTCGATGATATAAAAATATTTCAATGCAAATTATATAGATTCATAAGTAAAGTACTGCTTTGGTGCCATTTTTAAAATTTCGATCGCATAAAAATATTGCCATTCAATTTATGGGGATTCAAAATTGATAAAATGTTTAGGTGCCATTTTTAGAACTTTGATTATATAAAAAAATTTTGATACAAATTATAGAGATTTAAAAGTGAAAAATAGTTTCGGCAAGTTTTCCATAATGTAAATATATTTTGGTACAATTTTTAGAATTTCGAAAGCGAAAAATAGTTTCGGAGCTATGTTTAGGATTTTGACGATTAAAAAATGTATTAAAGAATATTCTCAATTTTGAGTTGATATTCGATAAAATAAATTTTGATATTCCTCCTATCTCATTTTTTGCAGAACTTAAAAGGCGCACAGTAGGGTTGTTTAGAAAGTTGGGTGTATGGTTTTTTAAAGTTACAAAACAATTGGTAGTTTCGTATGTCTCAATTCTTTTTAAAATGTATATATGTACTTATATATATATATTTTATCCATTTTGATGAATTAATTTATGTTTAATATAACTAATGAGATTGCATTTGTTTAACGAGGCATTTCTCATGTGTGTTTTGCTTGTCGCTTGATATTCCGTTTTACAAGTAAGAAAAAAATATCTTAGCAAAATGTATTTTTATAATCGACTAAATTTTTTGGATGAAAAATAATCCTTCAATTTATACAAATATATAATTATGTATCTGTCTTTTCTCAATGCAAACACAATGTTGATCCACTCTATATAATCTTATGTTACTTTTATCGATATGAATCAATGTTGATCCGATATATATAATGCACCGTTAATCCATAAACATTGGTTTAAAGTTGGGTTATAAACATTGAATCAACGTTAATTTATATACATACGATCAATGTGGACTTATACACATTTGGTCAACGTTGATTGGTATACATTGGATCAACGTTGATTCCTATACATTGGATCAACGTTGGGTTTAAATCGACAAAAAAACAACCTTTGCGATGTTTTTATATACGTTGGACTAATGCAATTTTACTAACTATTTTCATTAACTTTGTTTTTAAGGTTTTCATTAATATAAATACGATAAAACTAACATCGGATCAACGTTGTATTTGCATCGGAGAAAACTGCCAACGTTTGCAATGTATTTACATACGTTGGCCCAACTTAAGTGTGCTAGCTGGGACTGAAGTTTGCATTTTTTAAACGTTTTTTTATATTTGGATTTTGTACTTTATAAGTGATGTTTGCTAATGAAATTACAAGTTATTTAAAAAGTCGTTTTTCTAAATTTTAAGTATAAAACGCGCTGCTTTTAAAAATATATAGGTATTTTTTAAAAAATAAACACTCTGCTACGATCTTTTTTAATAAAACGAATTTTTAGTTAAAAAAAAATCAAACAACAATAGAGTTTTACAAAATACAAACTGGGATAGACAAAATATTCTAGAGTTTCCTAAAGCTTTTTGCCAAATTTTAAGAGGCATTTACTGAAATTTTAAAGAAGGTTTAACAAATATAACTCTGAGACATAATTTATTTACGAACTGAGTAATAATTTATTGAAATGCATTACCAGAAAAATTTGTATCTGCAATATAGTAAATACTTTTAAAGTTAGACTAGATACACATTAGTGAACAGCTATTAAAGTGTAAGTTTAAACTTTATGTTCCGCGTCAGTCATTATAATAGTTTGTATTTCTATTACTTTGTAATAAAAATACAATTTACGTTTTGTTACTAAATACAAACTATTTTATTTCGTTACTTACGTTTTTTTTACTAAATACAAACTTTTTTTTTTTCGATACGAAATCTTTTCGTCAAAACAATTTATTTTTACTACTTAATATCGAGAATGAGCATTAAAAATAATTTTTATCGCATATTTTCGCTTTGTTTTAAATGTAAGCTTTTTTAAATCTTTAATTTAAAAATTGGGTTGAGAACTCTTTGCACAGAAACTTTTTTTCCAAACAGGAATATAAATTTTATTTGTAGATTCTTAAAAACAATGCTTTGATGGTTTTGAAAAGAAGTTGAATATTACATTCCAAAATAATTTTATTTCCGAAACAATTTTAATGACCTCTATGACCCAGATCAAGTTTTGCTGTAAATTAGTTTGTAACAACATCAATTCTGTATTATTTTTTTTGTATTCGAAATTTTTTTTATATTTGCCTAAAATTTTGCTTTTTGTGTTTCCGCATTTTCAAAATTTAATTTTTTTGATAACGTCTAATCTACAAATATTAAGCATTTTCAACAACAATGCAAACATTGTTGTTGAAAATGTTAAAATACGATTACAAAAAAAAATTCGAAAGTTGTGATTTTATCTTCTGCTCAAGCGCCATTTAGTAAAAATATTTTTTTTTATTTAGTAGTATCCAAAAAATAATAACTATTTAATAACAGCTTGAACCCGGTGGAAAATCGACTAGGAAATAGCTAGCGATAATCGCAGCGAAAAAGACAATGATTTTGCCACAAGTATCACTAGATACATAAGCTAGCAAGTACCTAGCAAATACAATAACAAACTGTAATACTTAAACGCATTATATTTTTTAATACCTGTACACGTTTGATTGCCATAACAGCTGACTATATCGATAGAGTTTCCATTACATAAAAGACCTGAGCACACCCTAGTTCGACTCATAGTTCCAAAACCACAAGAGACAGTGCAATTGGACCAAAAACTCCAATTAGACCAAGTAGACTCTAATACTACAAAAAAGAAATTATAAAATTTAAACAATTATTATAATTAATCATAAAGTATAAACATAATCACTAAATAATTATCATATATTGCACAAAAAGTAACACTAAAAGACAAGTGTCATTTTTTAAATTTAATTTTTTTTACGTTTTATTCCACTTTTTATAAATAACTTTGCTATCATGCATTTCAACTTTGATTATCTTTAACTTTACTTTTGGAATCAAGGACAATTTCTCACTTAATAATGTCGAAAAAAAGCGAATACTGCTTTATCTCTAAATCTATAACTTGGTCAAAACAAATTTAATTTTTTTTTTTTTGAATCTGAACATTTAAAGTATTAGCCAAAATTTTAATATTCTTAATTTGCTTTTGTATAAATTTAACAATATTGTAATGGTTTGTTTATCAACTTAAAGAACTGAAAAATTTCAAATTATAAATTGAATAACAACAAATTAGTTCGTTAAATTCGTCTTAACCAAATTGGACTATGCGATTTAAAAAATATAACGCAAACATAACGGTTACATAACGGTAGGTGAGAAACTTATGGTTATATTAACCGCTTTGAAAAAATTTGAGGAAAGTACTCTAAGTGGATGTTAATGTTTAAAAAACTACACTAAAAACGCAAATCTTTGCCATTATTTTGAGACTCGGTTTCAAAATAATGAGTTAAAACAAAAAGTTGCTAATATTGCTAATTAGCAATATTAGCAACTTTTTAAACTTTTACATCAAATTAGAGTACTTTCTTCATGTTTTTAAACCTAAGGTTTGCAAAATTTTGAATAGTTTAAATCAGAGTTTCAAGTTGAAAGGGCAATTGTTACCGTAAATAAGGACATTGAAAAGAGAGAAAACAATGTTAATATTGTAGGACCACAAAACTGACAGAAGATTAATGCACAAAATCATAAAGAGTACGACTCCAAATAGATTAATAATCTCTTTTGTACAACTAGCGCAGATAAAAGTACAATAAAAAAGATTCATTGTTTCAAACCCAGGAAAGATGCACTAAGCAGCCCTGTTTTAGTAGAATTAACCAACAAAAAAAACAAAGTAGAATTTTTGAAAGCTCTGCTAGCCTAAGATTTTAAACAATTTTCAAAAAGTATAGATTAATCCGCATCAACTGAGGTTAAAAAGAAACAAACAAAAGAACTAGATATTGACAATAACGCAATAGAAAACTTGCTATAGAAGGAACTATCAACAGCTCTTTTTGATATGACATTCGAGGAAGTAGAATCTGAAAATTCTACAACAAGTAAATTGCCAAGAAAATATAACTAGCTGTATTGCTGGTATATTAATGCAACGTCACTAAACCTATTATTCTTTTGTACAGACAAGACAGACGGATTAATAGAGGAAGTAGAGTGCCCTTTTATACCCGTGAAAGCATCAGTTTTTTTAATTTGACAAATAGTTGATTACATAACGAAACAATATTAAGGAAATATGGCGCTCGATTTAGCATTACAGATTCTAAAATAATACTTTGTGGATGTATCTATAGTATAGAAAATTGTAGTGAGAAAAATAACAAGCGAATTGTAGATTCAATAAAACACTCCTATAAGTAGTCAGAAAAAATCAATATTTAGGTTTACTTATACCCAACCGGCACATCTAGTTTCTGTTTCGCAATTAAAACCTGTATAGATTCGAGTTTGTTACGATTCTTGCGTAACTTTTTTCTGAGTTGTGCCGGCTGGGTATGTGGTAACTGTTATTTCTCAATAATCAAATGGAGTGACGAAACTATTGGCTCAACAGCTGACATAAGTATTACCAAAAACAGGTTGTTAGATGCACTGAATGATTGTTTTCTAGCCAAAAAAAAAAAATTAATCAATATTTGAAATGAATAACAAGGATATAACAAACTTAATAGGCTTGGTAATAACAGAATCTTCAACTAGAGTTTTTCAGTTGTTTTTTTTGAATATTTTTTGAATATTTTATTATTCCTTGTTTGTTTTTTGTTTCAAAAAATACTTTTAAGATTTTTTTCTGAACAATTTTAGCAAATGTTTTCAAATCCTTTTTTTCTCATCACAATGAAAAATGTTTAATAGTTTAAAAGCACGTATAGCTTTTAAACTATTAAACATTTTTACATATTTGAAAATATATGTGATTATGTAAAAAATAAGTTTTTGATAAATCATTTTTTTATCCAAACTAATTATTTAGGAAAATTAAAATGTAGATGCAGGCTTACAAACAACAGTTTTTAAAAGTTTCCATTTAATACCTCTAAATACATTTTAACACTAAATATAAAAAACTTTGTACTAAAAATATTTTTATGTTAGGCACATACACATTTGTTATATTTTAAATATAAACATATAACTTTTTTTTTCTCTCTTTATTGTGAGCACAACTATCTCTTAACTTTTTAACTCACTACATCAAGGTTTTCACAAAAGAAGTCCAGATGGGAATGTAGGAACTGCATTTTCAAAGATATTCGACCAATTCTTTATAAGCATAAATGAACTTGGCAACTCCAACCTATTATACATGAAATTTGTCATTCCCCAGAAAACTTGAGCTTGTCCATTTGAAGGCCAGCTAAGCTTCCAATTCCAGTGGACTGAGATCCCTTTCGAGTTCAAAATCCAATAAAAGAAACATGTCCGTAGTTCAATACCAGGTAAGCGACATTGGTAAAGAAGGATGTGTGAACTCTTAAGTTAAATGCTCTTCTGCAGTGCTCTGTGATCAGACCGTTAGGAGTTCTTGGAGCACCTTAAATACCACCTAATTAAAAAAAAGTTCTTTATTAAACTAAGTTTAATGTGGAGAGGTGGTACGAAGATCTTTTGCGGAACGACTAAAGTGACATGCTGGGAGACCAACTATTGACATTTGAAGACCTATTAAGATCTACAAATATAAAAAATATATGTGAATATAATGGGCACTAGTCTATTTACGTTTGCTGTAGTATTCATTGTGGCACAACTGTCAAATGAAACAATATTTTGTAAATCCTGACAATATGACAATTTAAGCGGCGATTAGTGATTAATACAGTATGTCTTTTTTTTGTTCCGGCTTTTATATATTAGTAAGATTCATCTATTGTTAATATTTATACATGATGTAAAAAAAAACCTACAATTTTACGTTCGTAATTTGGGTAAAAACAACACTTACAAAAAAAAAAGTCTAAAATTTGTACAAAAATTCATTAAAATCAAAGTTTTCAATTTCTCATAAGTTACTTAAATTCGAAAAAAAAAGAAAGTTTTGAATTATTGCGTAATATTTTTTAAAGAACTCAAAGAATTTTAAAAAGTTTTTTAGGAGTCGGAGTTAGAGTCAGAATCATACTCTGAAAATTTCAACGATTGGAGACGGAGTCGGAGTTTTTTTTTTCCACTATACACCCTGGTTTAAAGTTTTGCGTTTTTTATATGTAATTTTTTGATAAAGTAGAGCGTTAAAGATGATTCTAAGTACAGAATTTTCGTTTGATTTTTAAAGTTTCGAAACTTACATTTTATTTTTATGTGATATAAATAATAGATAAAAAAATATTAGTTTTTAAGATTTATTTATAAGTTATTTAAACCTCTAAAAAAATCGTTATATATAAAAAAAAAAAATGCTATTTTGATGAACGTCTAAACTTACCATTTGTTAAACCGGTACTCACGTCATTAAGCATGCACATCAACATTAAAAGAATAAGTTTGTTTCGTATACTTTTGTTGGGCATGATCTAATTTATTTTATTAAGTTTTCTTTGCTAAACAATAAACGTGAAAAGAAAAGTACTATTTAGTGAGAATAAAAAATTACACATAAAAAGAAGCAAATACAATATTAACGAATGGAAAAAATTTTTATAAAAATAAATTAACTATTTTATAAAAAAACCGTCTACTATATTTTAGTAAGAGCAATAAAATATTTGTTTTAAAAATTTAGATTTTTTTAATTTTAATTTTTTTTTTTAAATCTAATACAAAAAGTGAAAATATTTAGTTTTGTTTTTATAATTTAGACAGAGAAGGGTTACAACAATGGGGCGCTACAAAAATACCTCAGTGTCATTATTGAAATGTTTATTTCTAAAATAAACATACAGATATAATTTAAAGTTTATCATTAATGTATTATACCGGTATAATAAAATAATATACTTCACGCAATGGCAAAGGAAATATATACTGCATAATATAATTTATTACACGTCTTTTTTCAAAAAACGCTTTTATATAATGTTTTTATCTTCAATTTCAAAGACATTTTATGAAAATTTATATTTTAGTCATTTAATTTTAAATCGAGTAGGAATAATAAAAAATTAATAATTGATTTGTTTATACTCTTTTATCTTATAACCAACAATTTATAGAGCTTACATTTAATCAATTATTCATACTGCGGGCTAAAAGTGTATGCATGTTAATTTAACAAAACTTTATTTTTGTTTTTTTCTTGTAATAAAATCAATTAGCGCGGGCTGTTAATACTCATTATACAAATTTTTATTAACATAAATATTTAATAAATTACTAAAGAAAAATAGTGCTTCAATTCAATTGTAGTCAATTTATAAGCAATAAATAAACTTATAACTACATAAAATAACTTATAATCAGTTAAAATAAAATCAAAAAAGATTTGCGGTATCGGTGCAGTGAAACGCTTGCTTGGCAAGTGAGCCTACTAGGCGTTCCATTGCTTCAAATTTTGTCTTCCATAAAAATTGCTTGATGGTACTTGGTAGTACCTTCTAGCAATTTTTGTTCTTGGTGCCAGGATTTCTAAATCCGTTCTCGTTGTGTGTGATTTTATATTAATAATAGCAATAATAATAATAATATCAAAGTTAATAATTTTTAATTTATAAAGAAGAAGTGTCTGTTTTATACTTAAAATTTTGGAAAAAAAGCTTTTTTATCCACTCACTGGATTTTTATATATTGCATAATTTCTAATCCTTTTAAAAACATATATTATAAAAAAGATTTTTTATAAATTTTCTGTAAATTGTAAAACAAATATATAATTGTAAAACAATATGGAATAAAAAAAAAAGGAAAAAAAAACGAAAACAAAGGAAAAAAATATTTACATGTATGCATTTATGTATGTAAAAATGTTTATGTGAATGCATGCATATATTCATGTATGTACGTATAAGTCAATAGGTACATGTGTATGTATGTATTTGCGTACGTATATGTATGATATATATTTATGCCTGTGTTATGTGTCATGGTTAGGATCAGGGTAATATAAACTTGAAACTCAATATAAACTTGAGTAAAATAAGCAATGTTTATTTAGCATCATATTTAATTTTCTATTTATCTCACTAAAACGTGATGCCGTAATTATGAAATTAAAAACGATTCAAATTAATTTAATTTGATTCATAATTTTTAGGTTATTTATCAAGTAAGAGCCTCTGAAAAACAAGCATAGATTTTTGATGTTTCAAACATAAAATATTCAGGCATTAAGCAACTGCTAATGTATGTTCATGGTTATGTAAAATAAGAAGATTTTACAAAAAAATGTGGTGATTGCGAAAAAGGTTATTCAAACTCCGCCTGAATGAGAGGACAATGAATTATGAAAATATTTTTTACTATATTATATTTAGTACATTATATGTACCGGGGCATTGCAGAAAATCATACACAACGCCAATTTTCAAGAAGGATTACAAACTAAAAGCGTCGGATCACTGTCACTTCAGTTCCTTGCAAGATTATGGAAAAAGTTTTGTATGATCACGTAATAAAATACTGTCTCAAAAATGATCTATTAACACAAAATTAACATGGTTTTGTCGCAAACAAAGGCTGTGTAAAGAATTTACAAGAGACTAGTGACATAATGACCGACGCTATTAACCGGGGTTAATAGCTTCTGTCATTTAGTTGACGTATTTACATAGACTTTGCCAAAGCGTTTGTTTGCTGATAGTATGAATATGTTGTTTGAGCAGACAACTGGATTAAATTGTGACTTGATAATCGGCAACAGCAAACTAATGGTCATATATTTATATGGAGGTAGTTTTATGATTGGGTTAACTAACTTGGAAAAAATCTTCATAGAGAAACTGATTACATTATTAAAGTGATTTCTGTATAATGGTCTCAAACGACTTAAAATTTTGCACACAAGTTGAAACAGCGGCATCGACAGCAAACTGTGTATTAGACAGGCTGAAGACAGCAAACTGTGTATTAGACAGCAAACACGACAGCAAACTGTGTATTAGACAGGCTGAAGAAGGCTTTTTGTAGTTGTAGCTTAGAACGCTGGCGCACACAATGTTTTTTATGTCCGGCCACATCTTAGAATTCGCTAGTCAAATTTGGTCATCACATCATAATCTGACATTAGCACTCTTGAAAATGTTCAACACAGAACTACAAAAATCTCAAATATTAAACATTTAACTTATGAGTAAAGGCTAAGAAAAACTAATGAATTTAAAAACTTAAGAAGAGCGAAGAAAAAGAAGCGATCTGATTAAACAGTTCAAAATTATAAAAAAAAAAAAGATAAAATAACTTTTTTTGTATCTCAGATTTTTTTAGCAAGCAACGCGTTATACAGCTTTCGTGGACACAACAAACGACTTGATCGTCAATTAATTCAAGGGTATGAAGAACAATTTCTTTACAAATAAGATCATAACCAAATCGTACGCCCTTTCACATGTCTTAGTTGATTCAACTTCTTGTGCGTGTTTAATAATAAAAAACTGTAGTTTGCATAGTTTTCTCATTGAAAATGGAAGTTGTTGCTAATTCGTCAGTATAAAAGGGCTTAATGTAGTTTTAACTTACTCCTTTTAGCGTGTTCATAAATAGTAATTTGTATACAAGTATATTGTATATTTTTTTGATAACTGAACAAATTTTAAACAACTAAACAATTTTAATTAATTAAACAATACTAAATATAATTTCATCGACAGGTTTTAAATTTCATTAAATAAAATTATAAGGTTTAAACGTTATGATAGTATAAAGCTTCCACCACATCTAAAATCAAAGGGTAATAAATTTTAGATATTTATAATTTTGTACAGCCGTGGCGCAGTAGTTAGAGTTTTGGCTCAGAAGACAGAAGTACAATATTTGACGCAGCTCTAACCTAATGCGACTTTGGTAACGAAGAAGGCTTGAATTTTCTAGTTTAAATTCTTACGCGGCACTCTGTTGTAAGACCGTACTTCTGGGAGTACCATAATAACCACAAAATAAAAAAAATTAAAACCTATCAATGAAATTGAATTTAGTATTATATAGTGTTAAAAATATTTTCTTTTCATGACTCATTGCTCTCAAATTCTGGAACAGTGTCTTACCTACAACATCAAGAAATACTAAATTAACACCACTTGGCGTAGGATTGTTATTTTTGAGCAGAAGTTTTTAATTTTCAAATTGTATTAAATTTATATATTTGTTTAGTGATTAAACGCTTAAAATTATAAATAATACAAAAAAACGTGTAATTGTGCACGTTATGTACATACCGTCTTCTGGCAATTTAACAACATCTCATAAATAATTTGAAGTTTAATGCAAACATGTTTGTGGTAAAACATTGTGTTTTACCACAATTACACACAACGTATCAACGCATTTGAATGTATTGGATTGAAAGGCAATTAAAATGTTGAAAATTTTCCAATATCAGTTTCATTTTGACTTAAAACTAGAATATCAAAAAAAATATTTAACTTTTTTTACCTTTAGCCATACAAATATTAACAAATTCCGTGTTTAATAATATATTTAAAGTTGGCAAGGACGAGAAGAAGACAGATTTGCCTTATCACCAAGTCCTTTGTTTATAATTATATTTATAATTATATAAATATAATTTATATATATATATATATACATATATATATATATATATATATATATATATATATATATATATATATATATATATATATATATATATATATATATATATATATATATATATATATATACATACACATACATTAGTTCACAATCAAAGATATTTATTCAACAAAAAGAAATTAAAAAAAAAAAATAATATCAAAAATTCGAAATATTCAAATTCAAAGTAGATTACACTTTTTTTTCTCTCTCTCATTTAAGAAGAAAAACAAATTTATCGTTATTATTATTATCATAATTATCGTTATTATTATTATTATAATTTATTATTATCGTTTTTAAAACCTCTAAAGGCAGCAAATTATATAATTACTTTTTTTATAATTTTTTTATAATCAATTATTTTATAATTGATTATAATGTATATAATTAAAGATTTTAGGCCTTTCCAGACAAAGTATGCACTAATAGATAATTTTCAAATAATATTTTTATAGATAGTTTTAAAAATACTTTTCTGTTTGTTCATTATTTAAAAGTAATAGTTTTAGTTTTTGCTTAAGCTGTTCAAGAGCTGTAAATTTTTTAATATCATTACTAAGTACCTTATTCCGTACATTAGGTCCTCTAATAGTTATTGAAAACTTGGTGGACTCATATATAGTTTTGATTTGGACAAAGTTGTTACTCAAATATTCAGTCACGTATTTGTGCTGAGTTTTATTAAACATTGGTCTGATGATATTTGGTATTGTATTATTGTTAGTTTTATACATAAAAATAAGAAGATATATTTATTTATTTGGTACAAATTTAATATTTCTAGATTTGTTGAACAACGATTTGATTTGTTGAACAACGGTCTTGAATGTGAGAGACGGTGTGCATTCAATAATAGTCTAATTGCATTTT